TCTTAGAACTGTGCTGTAAGTTATTTTCTACCAAGTGGTGTTACTATTTTCATTATATTCTAATGAATCAATGCATCTGCCTGTAGTTTTTCTCTGCTTTAACATCCTAGAACTAGAGGAAGAGGACCTTTGATGATGGGACTTTGGTGGTCCGGTTGGTTTTACTGGAAACATTTTCTTAATTTCTGCTCTCTGCCTTCAAAGACACCCACACATCCAATGAGTGTTAGTTCCTAAAGCAGCTAGGTTCAATATCAAAATGAAAGAGAAAGCAGGCATTACCCAAGGCCTACCATCTAAAGTTTAGGACAAAACTTAGAGCAACTTTATGGGGGCATAGGAGCATAGGCAAAGCACCTACCCATGCAGTGTTTTCCAGAGCTCAGCATTGCTGTTTTCAAAGCAGCTTTGCCAGCACAGCAATGTTGTATACAAAGAAGTTAGTGTACAGGTAAACTATTTTAAAAATTAAAAGCATATGGTAAGCTCTACCTTCTACTCCTAGTCCTACAACCCAAGTGGCTCTTACCTGTGGAACAAAAAGTAGCGTGATAAAATTAAAGTAGATATCTAGGTATTTCTACCTGTTCTTTTGCCAAATGTGCCCCTAAAGCAGCTAACAGTCTTCAAAAACACAACAAAATACAAATTAACAAAGACTATAACAATAGATTAAAAAATATAAAAAACTGAAGGCAAAAAACTAAGATAAGATCATATCAGAGCAAAGCACCCTAATCAAATATTTGTATTTTCCTTCCCTGCACAGATAATACCAGTTATCTGTAGGGGACTGGACTAACAGCATAAAAAAGCAAAAATAATGATTGCAACATTAAACTCATTTTTCCACAGTTGCTTAAGAAAACCCCTCTGGTAATCCAGTCACAAATCTTTTGTGTCACATAGTTTGGACTTGACATGCTAAACTGTATAAAACCTTGCATGGAAAAAAATGTTGCACTCTGCATAAATTGATCTAAAAAAAAAAAAAAAAAAAAAACCTCCATTCACTTCTTTATTGCAGATAGCACCTTTACCAAAAAGAGTTTAACATTTTCTTCTACCTGATCCACCCACTAGCCACTATTTTGTGACTCTTTGTCTAGGGATTGTTATTGCCAATGTTCCAAACTTAATATTAAGCTAATATTAATTCAGATAAATGGTTGCAAATCTTGTATCCACTTGTGCACACTCAGTTTTTACAGATGAAAACATACAACAACATCACTGTGTTATTAAGCAGTGTAGACAGATGTGCAGTATCAGAATCTTAGGCTGCAATTCTTTAAATACTTACCAGAGAGTAATTCCCACTGAAATCAGTGGAGCTTATTTCTGAGTAGATACGTATAAAATCACACAATTAGCTACTTAAATTACAATTATCTCTTCACAAAATTAATTCTTTCCAGGAGATTCTTCATTAGCAAAAAAAAAAAAAAAATCCAGGTAATATAATTCACTTCTGATATACTTACATTTCAGTCACTCCAGCCATTCTCAACCAATAGCCTTTGGAACTTTCTGTTTTCTTGTGTTAGTGAAAAATAGTTGCTTTTCACAGTCCTACTTAATATTTGCTTAACAAATGCTGATATACTGCTCTGTTAGTGATCATTAAACTTGATCTGTATCATTTTGAGTATCCTTATAGTGGAAATAAAATCTTGTACTCAGGGATGTAGCCTTTTTATTTAAGCAGTATTTTAAATGTTAATATTATTGAATTTTATTTGGCCAGGGCGGCTTGTTTTATATTGTATGTTTTATATTATATATTTGTATTTTAATGTATATATTTTAAAATGTTATTTTAATTTATTGTTGTAAGCTGCCCCGAGGCTTCGGCGAATGGGGCGGCATAAAAATGTTTTAATAAAATAAATAAATAAATAAATAAATAAGCAGTCTTACCCTTTGTTTTTGCTTGTTTCTTTGTTTTGGGCTACACATGGATTCAGTGTCTTTAATAAGGTATTGCTGAAAAGCCTTTGGTACTGATTCAGTGGACTTTTATTTCCTTACTTTTCCCTTCAGGCTGTCCCTAATTAATACCCACCCCTAATTTTGATGTTTTTTAGGTAGAGTAATACTGTGCTACTTCTCGGTGTGATGAGCCCTGTAAGCACATTTAGTAATTCTAATTATCATTATTACTTTGCTGTTCAACCAATTAATCTTTGCAACTGGTTCTCTAGTAATGTCTAAAAGATTTGAACCATTTTGCTTTTAAAAAACAATTTCTGTTGGCTTGAAAGAGGACATGTTTGAAGGTTCAGAATGGTAGTTTATTATCCAAACCCTGCACCAACAGCACCGCCATCTTATCTGGATTATGTCTCAGTTTATTGGCCTCATCCAATCTATCACCATACCCAGGCACCGACTCAAGAATGGCTACTGTCTCATCTAGGTTGGATGAAAAGGAGAGGTAGAGTGGAGCATCATCAGCATATTGATGTCATTTCAACTCATACCTATGGATAACCTTGCCCAGTGGTTTCATGTAGATATTGAATAGCATGGGGGATAAAATAGAGCCCTGCAGTACCCCATGGCATAACTTCCATGGTGTAGAGCAATAATCCCCAGCAACACCGTCTGAAATCAGCTGGTCAAACAGGATTGGAACCACTGCAAAGGGAGGGTATTGGGGACTTGAACTGAGTGACTCGCTCCCAAGTCTGACTCAAGTTGTGTGAGCACGTCAACTTGAACATAACTCTGGAGCAATGACTTGTCTCAAGATTTCTATTGCTTTTACGACTGAGTCACTCCAGGACTTACTGCCCACTAGCAATGATGCCACCCTCCTGAGGCAATCTTGGTGGAAGGCATCCCTGACCTGCTGGCAAGAACACAGCAGAGGCAGTGGGAGGGAGGGAGTTTCAAGGAAGCGGGGGCAGGATAGGGAAGAGGGGGTTGTGATGTGGGGAAGAGAAGGCAAGGCAAGGTTTTAGCTCTTCTTTTTGGAACGAGGAAGGCAGTGAGAGGGAGGGACAAGGGGTGAGGGCAGGGAAAGAGGATTGTAACACAGTGGGAAGGCTTCAGCTCTTTTTGGTGCACTCTGCTCTCCTCAGCAGGAAGTGTGACAGCACATTCATGCCTGCTGCTTCTGCTCTGTTCCTGCATGTTTCCAGGGAAGAATGAACAACAACTTAAATAAATCACTGGTGGTGGGGAGTGCCTCCAAAAGAGGGGAAATGTACTATATACCCTGCTAAGCCATCACATACAATCATCCAGAGTACACTGCTTTCAATGCCTGTGCATTTTTTTCTGCTAAAGTCCATGACAGAAAGAAGAGCCTGTGCTTGGTCTGAAAACCATTTTGGAGTTATTTATCAGGCATTTTTCAGGGCAGACTCCAGACTAGAATCAAGATTGCAGAGTTATATTTAGCCAGAAAACCTGCATTTTGGGGGTTATTCTGGGGGCCAATTGTGTCGAGAAAATCTTTTTATAAATTGCAACCTTGATAAATTCAAATAACAGTGCAACTTTGTTTGAGGAAATCATGGTTGAAGTCAAGGACTTCAAAGCATCACTGAGAGAAGTGTAGAGGGGAACATCAGGGCAGTTTACAACTCTCCTTCTATTACACCTCCTTTTTTTCTGTTAAAGTTGGCTCTTGAGACTTGAGTCAAAAATTTCTGACAATGACTTGAAACTCAACTTGGACTTGAGAGTTAAGACTTGAGACTTGAGTCAAGACTTGAAGGATTTGAACACATCACTGCAAAGCGGTGCTTCCAACTCCCAATCCAGCCAACCTATCTAGAAGGATACCATGACTAATGGTATCCAAAGCCACTGAGAGGTCCAGGAGAACCAACAGGGTTGCACGCCATGTCTTTCTCCCAGAAGTCTCCTTTCCAAAACCAGTCCTCAAGTCATATAGAAATGGATCAAGAAGGTCAGTTGCATTCAAGAGTTCTTGGAGTTGTTCAGTCAGCACCTGCTGAAACACATTGCCCAGGAAAGAAAACTGGCTACCAGCCTAAACTTCTTAATGTCTCCTGGGTCCAGACTGGATTTTTTCAGTAGTTTAATCACAGCCTCTTTTAAAGAGGCTGAAGTCACTCCCTCTCTTAAAGAGGCATTTACAACCTCCTGGACCCAGGTACACAGCCTTCATTACTTTGAGTGATAAAGTATGATAGGCAAATGTCAGACATACAGGGGAAAGGTTGAATTTGGCCAAGCACCTTTTCCACATCCTCAATATACATAAATTGATATATGTACATGTTCTTTTAAATTCCCTTCTTATTTCTTAGAAATAAGAGCATGGTCAAAACATAGTGTGACATTTTCACACGCTTCAGAAAGCTAAAACACAGATACAAACTGGAAAGGTAAAAGCTCTTCACCTACAATGCAACAGATCAAAGACCTAACAACACTTTCAATATTTGAACAGATGATATACAGACACTTCTCTCTCTCTCTCTCTCTCTCTCTCTCTCTCTCTCTCACACACACACACACACACACACACACACACACAGAGAGAGAGAGAGAGAGAGCGCGCGCGCGTGCGCGCGCTATCTGGTCTGCCTTTGTTGATGCATAGGTAGGTATAATGGACACATCTGGATTTATGCTGTTATAATGATATTTACATATAAGCAATTGTTATTTTCTATTTCTGGCTTTGTTTTTTATTTTAGTGAAATTCACAATATAAATGGAAAAATACATCAAAAATAAATGGTATGTATAAAGGACTTCAGTCATTGGGTGGTATTGAAATAAATTACTACTTACTGTTACTACTAATATGAAAATACATCTTTAAAGTAGTAAAAACATGACTTCTGGTCTAGTTCTAGTCTTCCTTCTCTGTACAAATACACTCTAAAGAAGATCATACAGTATGCTGATAACTCAGTTGCTGATAACTCACAGAGTCCAACAGTATCAAAATTTCAGAATGTTTTAGATTACAGCATCAAATTACTAATTTTCTTCATAATATATACGGTACTTACCTCAATATGTGTAAATGTTACATCATCATTCTCTATCTCCCCTATTTCAGAAGACATGCCTCTGCCTTTTCGTTGAAAGTATATTTTACTCATATAACCATCAGTAGAATCCTGTGTTTAGAGAAAAATAATTTCTTTTAGGAATATTAAAATTGTTTACAATTTGACCACTTTAAGGGTTGACTTCTTAAAGGCAGCCTAAAATATTTTAAATGCATAAAATAAGGATTTGTGCATAAACAATACAATATTCAACAAGTTGGTATTTCTTGACAGAGATTGTCTAAGATCTCAAGATGCATTTCTCTCTTTCTAAATTTCTTTGCCACTTGGATAACAATATACACACATTCAACCACTTACTAGCCTGTGCTTGTTCTTTGCAGAGAGAAGGCCCAGATATCTCTCCCTTATTACAGACTGTTCAGATACATTTGCCTGATTCTGAGGAGAAGCTGGAGGAATGGGTGGTCGGGGGGTGGAGAGAGACACAAGAAATTTGAAGTTTCATGGTTACCTAGTGAAGTTTCTCAGGCAGAGTATGAGAACTGGATTGGAGTGGGAAGAGATGTGAAATCCAGTCCTTGACCCAGTAAGGAGGCAATGAGAGAAACAAATTCTCAGTTAGATGGGCTTTCCATTCTAACCATCTTGCCCTCAAGCAGAAAGAGCTACCCTGATGGTGGAATCAAAAGCTTTACTGAAAGGGAGGGACAGAGGGGAACTTTCCAGTTTGAATTCAACTCTTTACATGGGCAGATGCTTCTCTCTCACCTCTTTCCTTCTCTTACTGCATTACATTTGTTTTCTTTAAGTACTTCAGAATGGATAATTCTCCCCTTCTACCATCAATGATCATCTTTTCTTCTGCCTTCTTTTTTTTCCAAAGCCAGGCTACCAATATTGTGGCTGCCATTATCATGTGAAATATTTAATATTTTGAACCTATTCTTCAAAGTAACATTAAGACAAGCAATACAGGATACATTTTGACAAAAAACATTTTATTAATAGTTACAAGAGCAACAATCAGTAACATATAACACTGAAGCAAGCAAAAATAGATACTGAATAAGATTAGCTTCATAATTTGGCAATTTTCTTTTAAAAACCAATGCAAAAGCATGAATTTCCCAAGGTTTAAAACAATAATCAAAATAATGAACTGGAAATAAAAATTTAAAATGAAAAATGTTGATGGAGAATTGAAAGAAATCTTAAGAACATATTACTGGATGCTCAAAAGCAATGATCTTATTAGACAGTGGAGATGCATTGTTTGTAAAAAGCACTCCAATTTAAAGGATGAAATGCAGTAAAGTATTTTAAAGGGTGACTTTTTCTATCTTCTCATCTCTGTGTGAGAGAAAATATAAATAGATATGGGAAAATGGCTGTAGACATGAATCACTACATAATCCTACATTCAGTAAGGGGACTTAAAGACAGACTATCAAGTACAGTCAAAATAAAACTAAAGGGTATTGTTTAAACTGTAACTGCTGACCTATTTTTCAGTTACGTGCAGATAGTAAACTGGTAAATAGTGACAAAATAGAAATTTCAGTAAAAGCATTTGACAAAAAAAATAGGATGTAGCCTTCCCATATGCCACTGAAAGTAGGTCTGGAAATTTATCCACTTTCTAAAATTAAACCGTAAAAGTATGCAGAACCAGAAAAATCATACTAAAGAGTTCTATAAGAAATAGAAAATAGCATTACAAATGGATAGCTTAAATTTCAATTCTTAACAATCCAAGAAAATTAACAATGTTCATAGCTCAAGGCTAGAATATTTCACATCCCTGTGGAGACACATTATCAGAAAATGCTTTATATAAGAGACAAAGAAAGAGAAGAAGAATGAATTTTTATTAAAAAAATAAAAAGTTGTTGTACAAAGAAATGTATTTATTTCAAATGTATTTCATATTGTATTTTAAATGTTGCATATCAAACATATCTTTACATGTATAGGAAATATCTAAGTGGATATCCAGCATGGCTACTGCTCTCCCACTTAAATTGTCACATAGGCAGACCCTGTCACTCATGCGACTCATGCAGCTAGCAATTTAAAAAGCACTCCCAGAACAAGCAGAAATGATTGGGACACGTCACTGGAGTTTCCTTCTAGGAGCTCCACTGACCTACCCCATTTCAGAAACAAGCATTTCCACTTGTTTCTGGGTGCACCTGGAATCAGCTGTTTCCCATTAGCACATGGAAAGAACTGGATACAGTCCATAGTCATGACTGTGCTGGTACAATGAATACTTTTCTCAAGTTGTACTGCTTTTGTGGCTACAAACTCTTACCACAAACAATGCATGAACTAGTGAATTAGCTGGATAAGGTGGGAGAAATCACGATGATCAAGAAAGGAGATAAACGATGGGTAGGACAAGATATGACTATCAGAAATAGCTGTCCTGTCTCCTCTGTCTTCAGGCTCTGCTTGAGGTAATCTCTCAATGAGGGATTATATAGACCAGGACTGCTGTGCAATAAATAAGCATCACAAACCAGCCAACCTGTACATTCTTCGGTGTACACAGGGCAGTGAGGAATATTTCATTCTGTCCTACCTTGAGCTAGTTCATACATTAATGGTGATAGTGAGTTCCTGCTAAAAGTGGCTTGCCACAATATGTGCTCCAAGTAGCTAACGCATTGTATATAGAAACACAGAAACAGAGTAAAATGTCTCTGTATCAATTGTTGTCGCCTTTCTTTGGCCTGAATCATACACATTGCAAGCACTGTAAGCATCCACCTATCATTCCCATCATGAACAGCCAATGACTATCATAACATCCAAACAGATGTTAGATATTGCCAGTTGGAAATTTAGGCTTTTGTAATACTGACTATCCAATATCAGTCTACCCTAAATTCCATTCATTTCAATAGGCCTCATTCAAATAGGACACTAGTTACAAATCAAAGCACATATTGATAGAAGGAATGGTGCACATAACAAAGGCAGTTAGGTTTGCTTATTCTATTACCAGGTTTATTGGATTTCTTGTTCACTCAAAGAGGGGGTGGGATTATGCAGAGGGCTAAGCCACCTTGAAAGTTTCAGGTTCTAATCAGTTAAGTAATTTAAAAGAAACATACAACTTTGTGAGCCCTATTACCAGGTTTAATGAATCGGCCATGTGGAGGGGTCGTTGCCACAGGGCAAACCTAAGCCAATCTCTCCACTGCAGGCATGTTTGTTTTCTGAATGCCTGGCAGTGATGGAAGGTCTCCACGATAAGATGTAAGCTGCCTTGAGCCCTTTGAGGAAAAAAGGCAGGATATAAATAAAAAAATAGATAGATATGCTCCTCACCAAGGCAGAGGAGGCATAACAAGTGGCCATTGGCAGCCGGGAGGCATGCAGCGCACAAGGCACAGCTCCAGAACCCTGGTTAGTGGCCATTAGAGGAATTTGTTGAGGAAGAAAAAAGGAGGAAAGAAACGGAGAAAGATATCCCTCAGTCTGCAGGGGGCCACTGCAGGGGAATGAGTGAGTAGCTGGAGAAGGAAAGAGAGGGACGAAAAGCATGTATATAGTACTATAGTAAGAAGGAGAGATATATAGAAAAAAAAATTGGTAGGAGTGCGTAAGGAAACAAGCAGAGGGGAAAAAAGAGGCAAGTAGCAAAGTTTTCTCCTTCATGGATCACTGCCTTGTTGTGGTGAAGGGGCTTCCGTAGCTCAATGAAGCTATGAGCTATGCCGTGCAGGCCCACCCAAGACGGACAGGTCATAGCAGAGAGTTCTGACAAAATGTGATCCACTGGAGAAGGAAATGGCAACCCACTCCAGTATCCTTGCCATGAAAACCCCATGGGCAGTACCAAAAGGCAAATAGATATGACGCCGGAAGATGAGCCCCTCAGGTCGGAAGGTGTCCAATATGCTACTGGGGAAGAGCTGAGGGCTAGTACTAGTAGTGTCAGAAAGAATGAAGCAGCCAAAAGGACACTCAGTTGCAGATGTATCTGGTGGTGAAAGGAGAGTCCAATGCTGCAAAGAGCTATACTCCATAGGAACCTGGAATGTAAATCCATGAATCAAGGCAAGCTGGATGTGGTCAAACAAGAGATGACAAGACTGAACATAGACATCTTAGGAATCAGTGAATTGAAATGGACAGGAATGGGTGAATTTAATTCAGATGACCATCAGGTATACTACTGCGGGCAAGAAGCCCTCAGAAGAAATGGAGTAGCCTTCATAGTCAATAGAGAGTAGGAAAAGCAGTACTGAGATACAATCTCCAAAATCGATCTCAGTTCGAATCCAAGGAAAACCATTCAACATCACAATAGTCCAAGTCTATGCCCCAACCACTGGTGCTGAAGAGACTGAAGTTGACCAGTTCTATGAAGGCCTACAGCACCTTCTAGAATTAACTCCAAAAAATGATGTCCTTATCAGCATGGGGGATTGGAATGCTAAAGTAGGAAGCCAAAAGATAACTGGAATAACAGACAAGTTTGGCCTTGGAGTACAAAATCAAGCAGGGCACAGGCTGGTAGAATTTTGTCAAGAGAATACGATGGTCATAGCAAACACTCTTTTCCAACAACCCAAGAGACGACTCTACACATGGACATCACCAGACGGTCAACACAGAAATCAGACTGACTATGTGATCTGCAGCCAAAGGTGGAGAAGCTCTATACAGTCAGTAAAAACTAGACCAGGAGCTGACTGTGGTTCAGATCATGAGCTTCTCGTTGCAAAATTTAGGCTTAAGTTGAAGAAAGTAGGGAAAAGCACTAGGCCACTCAGGTATGACCTAAATCATATCCCTGATGAATATACAGTAGAGGTGACAAATAGATTTAAGGAATTAGATCTGATTGACAGAGTGCCTGAAGAACTATGGACGGAGGTTCGCAATATTGTACAAGAGGTAGCAAGTAAAACCATCCCAAAGAAAAAGAAATGCAAGAAAGTAAAATGGCTGTCTGAGGAAGCTTTACAAATAGCTGAGGAAAGAAGGGAATTGAAAGGCAAGGGAGAAAGAGAAAGATACAACCAACTGAATGCAGAATTCCAGAGAATAGCTAGAAGAGATAAAAATGCCTTCTTAAATGAACAGTGCAA